ACCCTGGCTTATGGGTGTGTATGTGTGTATAAACCACAGCTCCAGGAATCTCAGCTCTGAACCTAGTTGGGCAGCCTTTGGGCAGGTTTGCTTTGTCTTTGCTTATAGTACCTACCTCTAAAGGATGTTGTGGAGATAAATGTTTTGATATGTGTTCAAGAGAAAAGCACTTCTGTCTTGTTTTCACATCCTAGGAAAATAAGAATGTTTCCATAATACATACATTGTGTGTGCAGATATTCGATGTATTTTTTGATTCTTTCCCCTTTGTGGCCTTGGACACCAACAAGATATGCTGAGGAACCGAACAATGTATATGGCAGATGGGAATACCCTGAGGAAATATTAATGCTGAGAGTTATTTGTAATGATCTAAAAGCTGCCCAGGGACTGAATCACTAATCTTCATCTACTGATAATGTTAATGGCAGGGCCTTGACCAGGAAGAGGGAACCAAAAATATGCCAAGCCAAAGGATGTTGCTGTTGAATAGATATTAATTTCCTAGTACTGGCTAATCAGGAAGCTTCATGCTACCTATTAATCTTGATGAATTTGGTATTTCTTCCTTTTCTATGCTGAAAGATGGTTCTTGCCTGGACCTTATCTATGTCCCTACCTAAGGCTGCTGCTGCATTTGTGTATTTCAGGCAATGCATCCAGTGCTGTTTCCTGAATAAAAATGTGGCCTTCAGTAGGAGAAGTGGAGAAGGAGTTCCTATATTGCTTGCATGTAGTAGGAATTAATTTCTTACCTTTAAATCAAAGCAGAATTCTACAGCTGTTTTCCTCTGATTCTCCAGTGCCAAACCTGTCCCTCTGCTCCACAGGGGAAACCATTGCAGCTTGAGAGGTTTCTAGCAAAATCTTGATGAATAATTGGGCCTCATAATTAGGGCATTTGGAACCAGAGAATTGGGGGTTGGCTTCAAGTTCTGAACATCTGTTTGAGTGTAGCTTTGGCCAAATAACATCACCTGCCTGCCTCATACATTTATCCACTCATGAATGAAGGTGGGGAGGAGGAATAGTTAAAAATACCTACCTCACAGCTGACAAGTTGTGAGGTGTAATAAATGTCTGTAAAGTGCTTTGGAACCCTTAGGGTTGTAGAAGGACTTAAGTATTGTAATTAAATAGCTTCACTCTGTTTGACATGCTATCATTTGTGAAGAATCCCTTCTCACCATTATCATCCTAGCAGGGAAGGGTTTAGGCATGGAACAGGCATTCCAATCTCATGTAGAACACTTGGAAATAATGAAAAAAATATATTGGAAATGGATGCATTATTAATTATTATTTTCTGTAAACTCCAGCCCTGCCCTGCCCTGCCCTCCCCCGCCATTTCCTCCAAAGATCCAGATGTCTTGAAATGAAACAGCAAAACCAGAATAAAACTGAGCGTTGTGATTGCTGTCAAATCTCTTGGTTAAGTGACTTGTAGGTACTGACCTCTCAGTTATTTAAGTGTTTACTATCTATTTGCTGTAAAGTTTGTATATTTTGTAAAACTTTTCTCCTTCCTAAAGAAAAGAAAGTAGATGTCTAAAATGGTTGTACATCGGATTCTTTTATACTCCATTGTTTGGCACAAAAGTGTGTTTTTTATTTAGAATAATAAAAGTGAAAACTGAAAGAGTCCGCTGCACTGTTTTTCTTATTCGTAAATGGTGATAGATTCTAACCAAGTCCAGTGTGAGGCTGAGCACATTCTCTGCCTGCAGGGCATCACTAATTCCTTCCCTTACATTTCCAAGGATATAGGGTAAAGCTGTTATGTGGTGAACTATTCCACTCAATCAATAGTCTAAGCCAGGGGTGTGACACTCGCATCGTCACGGCATTGTCACGTTACGTATCATGATTCCCCCCCTTTGCGAAATGGTGTGTTGGTGTGGCCAGCACATGACACATCTGGCCTGTGTGCCGCGAATTTGACAGCCCTGATCTAAGCTATCCTGAGCAATGCTGTCTTTTCCCATTGAAGAAAATGTACAGTATATAAACCAGTTTCCTATAAAATCAGCATTTTTTATGTCAAGGACTGGGGAAAACAATAGCTGGGAGATGCCCATGGAGGCAGTCACCGTATTATGGCTTGACACTTAAATAGAACATGACTACTTACTTCAAATGGATTCAACAACCCCGAGGAAGTAAGAAATAGAAGGGTAAAAAAATAGGTCTNGTTAGAGGGAGGGAAGGAAAATCTCTCTCTCTCTCTCTCTCTCTCTCTCTCTCTCTCACACACACACACACACACACACACACAGAGAGAGAGAGAGAGAGAGAGAGAGAGAGAGAGAGAGAGAGAGAGAGATTCTCTTCTACGGAATGTGAGAAACTCTCAATTGCTAAGACAAATGCTTATCCACACTAAAATCTAACTTTACCTAAAAATATTGTTCACTAGTTTGTGTGCTACTCACACTTATATGTCACTTTAATGCACAAAGAAAAACACATTTTCAGCATGTTTCAAGGCATGGGAGAAGTTACAGCCAACTTGCACAGTGGCAAATCAGACCACACTAGCTGTTACTATGACAAAGAACTAAGTGGGCATCTCAGGCAGATTATTTTAATGTACTAATTTTTAAAAAAATAATAGCAAACGGTTATACCATTCATTATTATCATCACATATTTACTGACATGAAGTGGGGAGTTTCTATATACTGACTGTGCAGTTTGCTAGAGCATGAAGAAAAATTTGCTGTTTTGTTTCGGACAATAAAATTCTTGAACTTAACATTTATATTATAGATATTATAGTAGTCATGTGTGCTTTACATATGCTGTTCCTGAGTATTAATCTTATTCAAGCACCTCTTTATTGCTTCAATTTACAATGAGCTACTATTTCTATATTTTTCTTATGTGCATATTTATCACAGACACATCTACTATTCATTTATTTTATCTTGCTTCTCACTAAGAGAGTTCCAAGCAGAGGACTTCGATAGGACTAGCCTGGATCGGATGCCTTCAGATGACATTCAATAATAATAATATAATAAAAAATATAGGTGATTTAGACCATGGTTAAATTATTGGACTACAGACAGCATATGTTTTGGGAGGCATTGCCCAGTTTTTCTTGACTCCTGCTGATTTTTCAGATCCATGTGATATTTATGTATTTTATTTATCATACTGCCCATCTCACTCTCAGAGTTACTCTGGATATAGCCATAAAATATTTCAGTGACCTACACCTCAAAAACTGATGCATGGTCGCAAGCAGGCTTTAGTGTTTAGATCATGAACCTGGCATATGTGGCATCCAACACACGTACAGTTACAAAATGTTAAAATAATACTCTTCTAGATTGAGACGGGAGAGCTAATTTGATGTCACGGTTAAAGTACTAGACAAGAAACTGGGGGATTGTGAGTTCTAGTCTCTCCTTAGGCTGGGCGACCTTATGCCGGTTCCTCTCTCTCTCAGCCCTAGGAAAATACAAAGGGCAAATCTTTTCCCAAAAACCTTTGTCAAGAAAATTGCCGGGACTAATCCAGACAGGAATCCAAGAATTATAAACTGACTGGAAGGCTCACACACAAATTGAGGTGGAGGGAACATAAGTTCTACCATGGGGCAAAAGACATCAAAGTGTAGCCAGCAGAACAAAGAGGTTTAAAAATAGTTTCTATCCTTGGGCTGTCAGACTCTTAAACACAACCAGGATCACTCCACACCCACACCCACACCCCCACACGGAAACATATGACCAGTTTCTCTCCCCCCCCCCTAATTACTTGCATTGGGATTATTCTTTATATCCGTGATGGCAAACCTATGGCATGCGTGCCCAAAGTGGCACCTGAAGCCACGTCACCCAGCACGCGCAGCCTTGCCTCTTTGTCTTCCAGGTTTCTGGCTCGCATGCATGCCCAACGATCAGCTGTCCTTTGTGCGTGTGGCAGTGGCAAAAATTGCTATGCGCATGCATGCTGGCCAGCTGATTGTCAGGTGTGCAGGCACTCCAGAACCCGGAAGCTCGGCCTTTCCAGAGTGCGATCCTTTCACAAGTGTGGCAGTGCTGAAAACCGGCCAGCACATCTATGCTAAAACCCAGAAGTTTGCCTTTTCTGGAGCGCAGCCCCAACAAGCACGCGTGCGATGTTTCCACGCGACCTTTTCTGCACTCGGTGCCAAAAAGGTTCGCCATCGCTGCTTTATGCTATTTATGTTGTTTGTATTTGTTGTCATGGATCGCACCAGTGAGGCTAAAATCAATTTCGTTGTATTTATTTTATAAAACGACAATAAAGACTATGCTAATACTAATAAGGGCCTGACTCATGAGAACCCTGCATTTCTTTCGAGATACGCTGGAAGCGGCTTGTCGCCCTCTCCCCCCATTGACACTTAATTGATTCCTGAGCAGCACCCTTGCTTCCCGGGGGCAAATTCATGCGTACACCGTTATCCTCGCATTAGCATTATTGTGGTACGATCTGGGCCCTGTCGGGGCTCCATTGTGGGTGGGTGGTGGGGGCTCCACTAGCGAAGCGGAGACGCTGAAAAACATTAAGCGCTCCTGATTAATAGAGCAGAAGATGTCGAGGGAGGCAGCGCTCCTGAGCTTAGGTTCCTAAAGCTTTGCGCCTCGCAGCGCGCCCTTCTCCTTCCCGCCGGCTTAGCGCCGCCTCTCGTGCGCCTCCTTCCGTGGGCTCTCGGTGCCCGGCGGGCGTTTTCCGTGCCACCCCGCGGCTGCCATACCCGGCAGGCAGGGCTCCTTTTTTTCTGCCTCCCCAAGCCTCCCGTCTCCCCGGCGGCGGCTCCATCCTCCTCAGCCTTGGCAGGGCTCCCTTCTCCCGACCCGACACCGGCGGCTGTTGGCTTGCCGCAGCGTATCCCCTGAAGCCGGGGCTGCTGCAGTGCCCCCTCCGGGGCTGGGGGCGGCGCTGGGCCCGGCCGTCTCGGGGCCGGATGGAGCCTCTTGGCCGGGGCCGGAGCAGCACCTCCTCGGCGAGGCCGGGCTGGAGGGTAGGGGAGGCCGGAGCCCTTTGTGTATGCGAAAGCGGGGATGCTGCCCACCGCCTCCCGGGTAAGGGGTCACCTTCCCTTCCCTTCCCTTCGGGGGAAAGAGTTCCTTTCCGCCGCCTGCAAAGATGTGAGACTTCCCCTTCAGCATCAGGGATTCCCGGTCGGGGCCGCCTTTCCTCCATGCCTTGCAGCCCCAATGCCTTCACCCCGTTCCCTGCGACCTCATCGCCGCCCTCTGCCCTTCTTGCCTCGGGAAGCCCTTCTTCCTCTCTCCAGGGCTCCCCGAAAGATTCCCCGCCCTTTGTACCCATTAACGGGTCGACCCAGAGAAGCCCCATCCCGACGACCTTCTTTTCTCTTCCTATCCCATACCCATCGACTGACATCCCCTCTGCCCCACAAATGCGTGCCTTTGCAGACTGCTCTCCATCGACTCCAAATCAAAACTGCCCCTCTGCCTCTTTTCTTTTGCTCTTCTTCCCCAATGTGGGTGTCCCATCATCTCACCTCATATTCCAGATAAATAACAACTTTAAAGGGTCACCATTCCCTCCCTCCACTCCACCCCACTCCTGATTTATTGGCACTCAGTTTTAACACTGCCTCCACTTCTTTTTTCTTTAAGAAATTAAAAAAAAACATTCATAAATAACTTGCTTTTTTTAACTCATCCAGTTTCTAAAGTAATGCATTTGTTTTGGAAAAAAACAAAAGGGGGAATCTTTTTTCTACTGATATGAAAAATGATTACTTCCATGTTCTTGATTGAAGGGTTTTTGCATAGAGAGCATACTTTATTAATTTTGATCTTTCCGATCTATTTTGATAGCAGGCATGGTCCCTGATGAAGGGCAGAGTGGGATATGTGGGTTAAGGTGATATTGTTGACTGTTGCTGAAGTTTATAAGAAAGCACAAACTTCAGCACTCTGCTGTGCGTATTTTATTTTATAATTAGCCAATTGAGGCTCATAAACAAAGATGCAACAGGTTGGGTTTGAATAAAATATGAAGGGAGAACTTAAGGTGTTTAGGACTTATCTTGTGATCAATTCCATTCTCAGGTTTTCTGTTTGCTCATCTGTTAAAAAGAGTCAGTAGAACATGCATCTTGAGGAAGAGGTTTTCAGAGGAAAAACAAAACAAAACTCTAGTTATAAAAACCCACGATATTGGATTGGCAAACCAGTTTTGTTATTTATGAAACTGCGTGTCTTTAGAGTACAGATATCTGGTAACTAGTTGCACAACTGGGAATAAGAAGAGAGGAAAATAGAAGTACATGATAACTTTCTAACTTTAATAATATTGCTTTTAAACATGAAATGATGCTTCTTGTGGCTCTGTGATTTGTAATTTTTGCTTCTCACATGCACACATTCATTTCCCCCCCATTCCTATTGTAACTATTAGACCAAAGCAACTATGTTTTTCTGTTCTGTGAACAAGACATTTGCTTATATCCTGCAATCACTTTTATCCTTGTTTTTTTTTAATTTATAGTGTTTCCAATGTGGATTATAATGTAATAAAAATATGTCTTAGATTGCATTCTAAATCAGTAAGAATCAAAACTGTGAACTTCATTTCTCTCTCTCTAGAGCTTCTCGCCCAATTGCCCCCCCTTCGGTGCATCTGAAAAATGTGGCAGTAGAAGTCAAAAGTGAACAGGAGAAGGAGATTTTAAGGAATAGTCAAGATGGGCATGAGGATCAAACTTCATAGCACTGACCATCCGAATAACTTGTTGAAGGAACTTAACAAATCTCGATTGACAGAGTCTATGTGTGACGTCACCATTGTTGTGGGTAGCTGTTCGTTCCCTGCACACAAAGCAGTGCTGGCATGTGCAGCAGGCTATTTCCAGAATCTTTTCCTGAATACAGGATTGGATGCTGCCCGCACTTATGTAGTGGATTTCATTACTCCGGCCAACTTTGAAAAGATTCTGAATTTTGTTTATACATCAGAGCTCTTCACGGACCTTATAAATGTGGGTGTCATTTATGAGGTTGCTGAAAAATTGGGCATGGATGATTTGCTGAAGGCTTGCCATTCTACCTTCCCAGATTTGGAAAACTCAGCTGTCACTAAACAGCCTTCTGCCTCAAATGAAAGCCGGCCTAGTGGTGCTTTAGCTGAACCAAACCATTCTCTAGGTGAAAGTCGAAATAGTGGGGAACAGCTGGGATCAGAGCGAAATTGCAATATGCATGGTGAAGCAGCCACTGGCTACAAAGAAGATCCTACCAATGAAGCTACTCACACTTTAATACATCCACAGACTCCCAAAGCTGAAGAGCAAGAACCAACAGGACCATTTACTGGTGCCATGAGTATAATGACCCAGGGTGGTCTCGGTAATATTAGCATGGCTGTTCAAACCCCTGTGAACTCTTGTCAGCAGTATAAGGTCCAGAGCAATGGGGATTATAACAAAAGTAATCTTTTTGCCTCCGATGTCTCCTTAGATATATCAACAAGTAGCAATTCCTGCCCCAGCAATAGTGACCATTCCAAAGATCACGGTTTTGGGCCGATGGATGAATTGCAGCTGGAGGACTTGGGGGAAGAAGATCTGCACTTTGAAGATCCCAGTGAAGAGCTGGGTGCTGCAGAGGAAGTGATAGAGCTGAGCGATGATAGCGAGGAAGAGCTATCCTTCGAGAACGACAGCCGGGAAAACAAGGCCATGCCGTGTCAAGTGTGCAAAAAGGTTTTGGAGCCCAACATTCAGTTGATCCGTCAGCATGCTAGGGATCATGTAGACCTTCTGACCGGCAATTGCAAGGTTTGTGAGACCCATTTCCAAGACAGGAACTCTAGAGTCACTCATGTCCTGTCACACATTGGGATATTCCTTTTTTCCTGTGATATGTGTGAGACTAAGTTTTTCACCCAGTGGCAGCTGAATCTTCATCGCCGAGAAGGGGTGTTTGACAACAATATTATTGTCCATCCCAGTGACCCTCTGATAGGAAAGGTCAATTTGTTCAATGGGGATTTAGCATGTGCTGCCTGTAGGAAACCACTGGCCAAAGATTTTCATGTGGTTCGTGGCCACATCTTGGACCATGTGAATGTGAAAGGCCAAATATGTGGTATATGTGACCAGCAACATCTCAATCTCTGCAGCTTGATGTGGCACACACTTTCCCACTTGGGAATTTCTGTCTTTTCTTGCTCTATCTGTGCCAGTAGTTTTGTGGATAGACATCTTTTGGAGAAGCATGTGGCTGTCCATCAAAGTATGGAAGAAGCTCTCTTCCGGTGTCATTACTGCGGTCAGGCTTTCAAACTTGAAGCTGCGTATCGCTACCATGTTAGTCAGCACAAGTGTAACTCTACCTTGGACCTCGTCCGGCCGAACTTTGGTGACCGTCTTCATCAGCAAGCATTGCAAAAGCGGAAGCTGACGGAGAAGTTCCTAAATGAGGACGTGGCTCTCCAGAACCAACCTGGGAATAGTAAATATAGCTGTAAGGTTTGTGGGAAAAGATTTGCTCATACCAGTGAATTCAACTATCATCGGCGGATCCACACAGGGGAGAAGCCCTATCAGTGCAAAGTGTGCTACAAGTTCTTCCGTGGACGTTCTACCATAAAGTGTCATCTGAAGACACATTCTGGGGCTCTCATGTACCGGTGCACCGTTTGTGGCCACTACAGTTCCACCCTTAACCTTATGAGCAAGCATATAGGTGTGCACAAAGGGAGCCTCCCACCAGACTTTACCATTGAGCAAACTTTCATGTACATCATCCATTCCAAAGATGCAGAAAAAAACTCAGAGAGCTGATGCAGCTATACTGGGGAAGTAAACACTACTTGAGATAGCAGTGAAACTTGTTTCAGAATTTTTTAAAAATTACTTTTAATGGTCTGTATACTTTTATTTTCTTACATTTCTTGTAGAATTTTCCTTAAAATCACTGTCCTGTGAAACAATATCACATTAGATGTGTTACTGTTCTCAAAAANTTCCTTCCTTCCTTTTCACTCCATTGAATGATGTAAGAACTTTAACTAGCAGGATTGGCAAAGTTTTAGTCTCGTATTACATTGGCCAGAATCCATAGGATGCTTCAAAGTGGTTTAAAGCAGGAATCCCCAACCCCTGAGCCATGGCCCACTACTGGGTCATGGCCTATTTGCAACCAGACCGCACGAGCATGCACACTGGCCTGCTGCTTATGCAACTTGAGCTGCGCATTTGCACATCAACTCACTGCTTGTGTGGTCCGGTTCCACTCTCCTCCCCACCAGGACGCCAAATGTCGGGGGCTGCTGGTTTAGATAGCTCTGTTTCACACTAAGTCATAATAGTAACCTAGCCACAGTGGCACAGTGGTTAGAATGCAGTACTGCAGGCTACTTCTGTTGACTGCCGACTGCCTGCAGTTTGGCAGATCGAATCCCACCAGGCTCAAGGTTGACTCAGCCTTCCATCTTTCTGAGATGGGTAAAATGAGGACTCAAATTGTTGGGGGCAATATGCTGACTTTGTAAACCGCTTAGAGAGGGCTGTAAAGCACTGTGAAGTGGTATATGAGTCTAAGTGCTATTGCTATTTTACCAAGAACTATCTACCAGGTTGTGAGCTTTCCAGCTCTGCAGCATGGAGTTCTTTATGCCACTCTTTCCCAACCTGACTATTGCAAATATATTGGGGTTATCCTGCATGTCATTGCCATTGGCAACAGCTATGAGTAATTTGGCACCTGATGGTAAGATTTGTAATTCAACACATCTGGAGAGCGCCAGATTGGGGAAATTGCTTTAGGTGGAGGTAGCAGAATTTGTTCTTAGAATCAAATGCACAGAAAATGCTACAGATGCCTTTCCCCATTCTACCTTAAACAAAGCTCAGTGTCATTCTTAGCGCGCTAGAATATGTGGTTTTCTTTTGAGCTTCTGTTCTGTCCCTGTTTTCTCAGATCTTTTAACTAAAGGTATCACAGATACCTTCAACAAATGTGCTTTGATAAGACAAGATAATAATGACTCTCTAAATATTTCCTTTGGGTTCGAAAGAGGTGGAGATTGGACACTGACAAAACTATCAACTTGATCTAAAAGTAGTTGATGTTTAAATGATTCTTAGACCAGATGTAAGCACTGGCTGGTTTTTGCATTCCATGGAATTCGTTCTTCAAGAGAAAAATGCAAGGAAAAACAACAAAATCTAAAATTTTGGCACATCCTATCAATTGTACATTTTAGGCCATAAAGAAACAATTGTCTCAAATGAGCTTTTTTCTTTCCATGTTATATAGATATTAGTTTGCTCCTTGAAACCATCAGTTAAAGAAATTTTCCCAATTTTTAAAAAAACAATAATGAAAGCAGAATGGATTTATAATGATGGATATAGCAATTTCCTTCTCAAAGTAAAATCCAAATATCCTAAAATACAAACTAAACTCCTAGTAGCAAAATTTATTTCTGGAGAGCAGGTCAATCGATTGCTTACCTTCTTAGAAACCAGAATTGATTCTGGTGATGTTGCAACAAAGAGATCTACTCTTCAGCCCCTCCAACTTGGATGTGAGGTGCAGCCTTTCCAGGAATGTGCATTTGTTGGCAACTCACAGATTTGTTGCTATTTTCCCTCCCTCCTATCTCTCACACACAGGAAATGAGCATCACAGGCTGTTGCTCTGAAAGCAAGGCCCCATCTGAGGATTTTGCCTGAACGCTCGAGCACCACACTGGTTCCAGGAATGGGCAGTACGGATCGTTCTCAGCCCCACACTTTTGAAGAAATCTAGAGGATGTCTGCTTTCCTGAGGCAAATTTCCTTTTTCCGTTCTGCATTTTTGAAACCAGCTTCCCTGCTTTCAAATAACACAGTGTGTACTGCCAAAAGAACAGGAGAGAGAGAGAGAGAGAGAGAGAGAGAGAGAG